ATATATATATATATATATATATATATATATATATATATATATATATATATATATATATATATATATATATATATATATATATATATATATATATATATATATATATATATATATATACATACACATACAGTTGAAGTCAGAATTATTAGCCCCCCTTTTATTTATTTTTTTAATTGATTAAATATTTCCAAAAATGATGTTTAACAGAGCAGGGAAATTTTCACAGTATGTCTGATAATATTTTTTCTTCTGGAGAAAGTCTTATTTGTTTTATTTCGGCTAGAATAAAAGCAGTTATTAATTTTTTAAAAACCATTTTAGGGACAAAATCATTAGCCCCTTTAAGCAATATTTGTTTTCAATAGTCTACAGAACAAACCATCGTTATACAATAACTTGCCTAATTACCCTAACCAGCCTAGTTAACCTAATTAACCTAGTTAAGCCTTTGAATGTCTCTTTAAGCTGTTTAGAAGTGTCTTGGAAAATATCTAGTAAAATATTAATTACTGTCATCATGGCAAAGATAAAATAAATCAGTTATTATAAATGAGTTATTAAAACTATTATGTTTAGAAAAAAAAATGTGCTGAAAAAAAAAATCTCTCCGTTAAACAGAAATTGGAAAAAATAAAAATAAAAAGGGGGGCTAATAATTCTGACTTCTACTGTTCATAGACCTCCTCTCCCTCAGTCATCTTTCCATCAAGCCAATTCCTCGTGTTAGCCTAATTGGTTGGCGATGTCACCGACCAGAGCGAGAGGTGGCAGTAACGCACCGAAAAATTTGTTGTCGACCACCGAAAAACAGGTAGAAGAGGAAATTGTCAATCTTGCCATCATATGGCTTTATTTTCATTGGCTAGACACCGGCCTCACAGCTCGGTGAATGCCGGTGCAGTCACTTATTGATTCACCATCGGTAAATGTAGCTTGTGTGGACACTACTGCGCTACTTGACTAAAAAATACCTTCGTTACTGAAAAACTATTGGAGTTATAAAGTAGCGGCGCTACTGAGAAATTTAGTTCCAGCAGAATAGAACAGCTTTACTAAATGGTCTTAGCAGAAGGCATCTTGCATATCAAAAACAGGCAAAGCAACAGATTATTATTATTCAACATATCCCAGATTTTTACAGAAAATGTTTAGATGTAACCCCATTCATAATCTTTAACATTTTCATAAGTAACTGTAATTTAATTACACATTTTTTCTCAATACTTTTATTTTGTAATTAAATTACGTAACACTCACATGTAACTAGTCACTCCCCAACACTGATCATCACTTCATTCTTGAGTGTCACATTTATGGACCATCAGAAATTGCTCTAATATGACAATTTGCTATTCACTTGCTTTAAAGTTTTCATGGCGATGTGTCAAAACAATCTGTACCGAAGCTTTTGACTGTAATGTAAACGAGCATGCAAATTTGACCAACATCAGCTTCACAAGGTGCACTCTGGGATATCATTTAAATTCGATCAAATGCACACACTCTAAAGTGTGTCTTACTTTTTCTCCAGCGAGTCCAGCCTCTCCTCCAGGACCGATAAAGCCAACGAGACCCTGCAAACACAACACCATGGTCATCCTCAGAGTGAGGGTCGTGTGTGTGTGTGTGTGTGTGTGTGTTTTAAAGCTGTAACTCAGTCTGCACACTTACCCTCTCACCCATGGGTCCAGCTTTCCCTGTGACTCCCTGTTCACCCTGAAACACATCAATGAGTGTGTGAGTGACCATGTGTGTTTGTGTGAGGGAGATTTGTGTGTGTTTGTGTTGCTTATGTTCTCACTTTGACCCCTTCAAGTCCAAGAGCCCCAGGGAAACCCTTACTGCCCATCTGACCCTGAAAAACAACAACACAGAGAGAAGATTTGTTGTCTGGGCAGAGTAGACTGGGCAAATAAACAAAGCCTCAGAAAAGAATTAAGACATTGCATTTTGCATAAAGACGTTGAAATGTATATATAGATCTCAATACTATCTACAGTACACCTTGCAACTGACATAAAGCACTCTTTATAGGTGGTGCAAATTAAAAAAATCATTAAAATTAAAACTATTTAAACAGTGATAGAAATACAGCAAAAGTACTTCAGATTCTGACAAAAGTCGCCTGTCCAAGTTTTAGGAACAACAAATAATAACTTGACTTTTAGTTGATCATTTGGGATCGGAAGTGGCTTATATGAAAGGCAAAGGCCTCTAGATTACGCTTATTTGACCAAAATAAAATGATCATGCCTTGATTTTTAATTATTTTATTATGACAGTAAGGTCTGACTTTGCTTAGACAAAAGTATTTTCTCTTAACAGAAATAATGTCCAGTATAGAATATAAAGTCCTGCTGCAGTGGAAACAGAATGAATATTGTGTCTGACTCCATCATGAGCTTGGAGGACTGCATCATACATCTCTGCACTGACTCAAATCACTGATTAATAAAGTCATCTGGAATGACAAAGATATTGTTCTTGCAGGACTCCCAGAGTTCAAGATACTTTGGATTCATCTTCAATGCCTCCTCCTTCATCTTACCTCAGACATGCTCAATAATGTTCATCTCTGGTATCTGGGCTGGCCAATCATGGAGCACCTTGACCTTCTTTGCTTTCAAGAGCTTTGATGTGGAGGCTGAAGTATGAGAAGGAGTGCTATCCTGCTGAAGAATCCGCCCTCTCCTGTGGTTTGTAATGTAGTGGGCATCACAAATGTCTTGACACCTCAGGCTGTTGATGTCTGCAGATCTCTCACACGCCCCCATACTAAATGTATCCCCAAACCATGATTTTTCCTTCACCAAACTTGACTGATTTTGGTGACAAAACCATTAGCCCCTTTATGCAATATTTGTTTTCGATAGTCTACAGAACAAACCATCCTTATACAACAACTTGGCTAATTACCCTAACCTGCCTAATTAACCTAATTAACCTAGTTAAGCCTTTAAATGTCACTTTAAGCTGTATAGAAGTCATGCTGCAGTGGAAACAGAATGATTAGAGTGTCTGACTCCATCATGAGCTTAGAGGACTGCATCTAAGCTCATCTTCAATGCCTTCTACTTTATCTTACCCCAGACATGCTCAATAATCTTCATATCTGGTGAATGGGCTGGCCAATCCTGGAGCACCTTGACCTTCTTTGCTTTCAGGAGCTTTGATGTGGAGGCTGAAGTATGAGAAGGAGCGCTATCCTGCTGGAGAATTCGCCCCCTCCTGTGGTTTGTGATGTAATGGGCAGCACAAATGTCTTGATACCTCAGGCTGTTGATGTCTGCAGATCTCTCGCACGCCCCCATACTGAATGTATCCCCAAACCATGATTTTTCCTTCACCAAACTTGACGGATTTCTGTGAGAATCTTGGGTCCATGTGGGTTCCAGTAGGTCTTCTCCAGTATTTGTGATGATTGGGATGAAGTTCAACAGATGATTCATCTGAAAAATCTTCATTCGGCCACTTTCCCAAATGATCAATTGTAAGTCAGGTTATTATTTGTTGCCCTTACAACTGGGATCAACGACAAGACTTTTGTCAGGTAGTGTAAATTCATTTTACACTCTAATATTATGATTTAAATTTTAAAAATTTGTCTAAAAAATAGTTGCATTTAATAAATTATTATATTATTTATGTAACACTTAACATGGAGTCATTATAAATAATGTATTATAATTATTTAAATACTTTAATCATGTACTTTCTAATGCATTATTTGGTTATACAATTACAATAATATAATACCGATCTATTTACACAGAAAATATTAAAAAAACTAAAACAACAAATTCCAGACAATAAAATCTGAATTTAAAGGCATTTTTGTTTATTTATTTTTGTAAATTTGTATTTTTTTGTAAATTTATATTTAACATTTCCCAAAGAGTGGCACTTATAAGCACTTTGATGGCAAAAATAACGGCTTCAAGTAAAATGCTACCAAAATAATTAGTATTTTGTATTTAATTTAGTATTTTTTTATTATTATGTTTCTTATTATAATGCTGAGGTTTACCTGTTTTGATTTCTAATCTTAACAAAAGAAACACCATATCAATTTGATGTTATTTCCCAATGAACACGCATGAGCTGAGCACCTATCAGCATGTTTAAGTGTTTCATGCAAAATATAATTCACTGTTGGGTTTTTGTTGAATTATGTATTTATTCATGAGATGCACACGTAAAACATGTCACTGAGATGTTTAATTGTCTTGGAGCATAACACGAGTATGCATGCTAATGCAGAAGAGCTGCGGTCCGCACACAAAGAGAACATACTGAAAGTCTCACCAAGACATATCCAATTACTGACCGCACAACAGAGACACACAGAGAGATGAGGAAAACAGATACCTGTTTGAGGACAGAAAGATGGAGAGCATCCAGTAATGTTCTGACTTTGTGCCAGAGCAGCAGTGAGTTAGGTTAAACAAAGAAAAGCGGAACGAAAGAAGGAAAAGAGGAAAAACAGACATGGAGCGGGGAATGTTATGTAATGCAGGGGATGTTTGCAGCCGACTCTCAAACTTTTGCTTTACGAGGCTGGATTAATGTGTTTTGAGATAAATGAATTGTGCTGATGATTCATCAATATTTTAAAATGTAATAAAAGCTTATCTGAACTGAAATACCTCACTGCGCCACCTTGTGGTACATTGCTAGAATATACATTTTACTGAGCTCAGTGCATATGAAAAATCTATCTATCTATCTATCTATCTATCTATCTATCTATCTATCTATCTATCTGTCTATCTGTCTATCTGTCTATCTGTCTGTCTGTCTGTCTGTCTGTCTGTCTGTCTATCTATCTATCTATCTATCTATCTGTCTGTCTGTCTGTCTGTCTTTCTGTCTGTCTGTCTGTCTGTCTGTCTGTCTGTCTGTCTGTCTGTCTGTCTGTCTGTCTGTCTGTCTATCTATCTATCTATCTATCTATCTATCTATCTATCTATCTATCTATCTGTCTGTTTTTCCTTCCATCTATCTGTCTATCCATCCATCCATCTCAGTCCATCCATCCATCAATCCATTTGTCTGTCTATCTGTTTATTTATCCATCTATCTATCTATCTATCTATCTATCTATCTATCTATCTATCTATCTATCTATCTATCTATCTATCTATCTATCTATCTATCTATCTATCTATCTATCTATCTATCTATCTATCTATCTATCTATCTATCTATCTATCTATCTATCTATCTATCTATCTATCTATCTATCTATCTATCTATCCATACATCCATCCATCTGTCCACCCACTAACCAATCCATCCATCCATCTATCTTTCTAATGCTCCATTTATCTGATGACTCTCCGGAAACTAACTAGTCTACCAGTTTAACAAACAAAGAATCTATCTAGTCTAAGATTTTAACTGACATATTAATAGGCCACAAATAACTAGTATACAAGTTTAAATATCCATATCATCATGTTTATTAAACAAACAAACAAACAAACAAACAAACAAACAAACAAACAACTAATTCTATTTAATAATTCTCATTATTTGTTTTTATTTTCTTACACTTGTCTCTTTTATTCCTGTTTATGTAAAGCCCTTTGAATTGCCACTGTGTATGAAATGTGCAATATAATAAACCCTTGCCTAACCCGTGCAATATAAATTGCCTTGCCTAACTAACATATTACTGACAACTAACAAGTCTGCCAATTTAACACACTTACTAGTCTATGAACTTAACTAACTAAACAACTAACTAACATATTACTATTTGACAACTAGCTAGTCTACCAATTTAACAAACACTATCTAATCAAGTGTATCTATCTATGCCAGCATCCATCTATCTTTATACATAGAAACATAGACAGACATATACACGTAGTCAACATGAAATGGAGGATCATCTTTTTATCAAAGATGTCTTAAAACATCGGCAATTTTTACAAACGTTTTTTATTTACTTCAAATGTTGACTACAGTATATGTATGTATTGATTTTTTTTCTTTTTTAAATATTTCCCAAATTATGTTTAACAGAGCAAGGAAACTTTCACAGTATGTCTGATAATATTTCTTCTTCTGGAGAAAGTCTTATTTGTTTTATTTTGGCTAGAATAAAAGCAGCTTTTAATTTTTTTTAAAAACCATTTTAAGGACAAGATTTTTAGCCCCTTTAAGCTATATATTTCTTTCCGATAGTCAACAAAACAAACCATCATTATACAAAAACTTGCCTAATTACTCTAACCAGCCTAATTAACCTAGTTAAGTCTTTAAGTGTCACTTTAAGCTGTATAGAAGTGTCTTGAAAATATCTAGTCAAATATTATTTACTGTCATCATGGCAAAGATAAAATAAATCAGTTATTAGAAATGAGTTATTAAAACTATTATGTTTAGAAATGTGTTGATAAAAATTCTCTCTCTGTTAAACAGAAATTGGGGAAAAAAAATAAACGGGGGGCTAATAATATTTACTATATATATAAATATATAAATATATATATATAT